CATGCCCAGCTAATTTTTGTGTTTTTTGTAAAGACAGGGTTTCGCCACATTGCCCAGGCTGGTCTTGAACTCCTGAGCTCAATCAGCCTGCCTCAGCTTCTGAAAGTGCTGGGTTTAAAGGCATAAGCCATTGCACCTGGTCAGTCTTTGTACTTTATTACTTGCTTTTCTATAGATCATAGATCCTTAAGAGTCATCTGAAGGAGCTTTTAAAATTTTAACTCAAATCATGTCCACAGATTGAAAACTTTCCAGAAGATTACCATTACACTTTGAATAAAATCCATACTCCCTACTGTGGCCTCAAAGCTTCTCCGCAATTTGGCTCCTACCTGTCTCCCTAACCTCTTCTCTCATTGCTGTCTTCATTCACTTTTCTCCAGGCATGCTGGTCCTCTTGCTATTCCTCAAACATGTTAAGCTTGCTCTTGTTTTAGGGTCTTTATACTTACCGTTCCATCTGCCTGGAACGCTATTCTCTCAGACCTGCCCAGTGTTCCCCCTTCATATCCTTCTGGTCTCTATTAAGTATTATTCACTCAGTCAGAGAAATCTTCCCTGACTACTCTAGCTAAAATGTCCAGCTCCCCCAACTAGTTATCATACTATGATCTACTTAATTTTTCTCCACAGTACTTATACTACCTGAAATTATATCCTTTACTTTTTTTTTTTTTTTTTAAAGTGTTTAATGGCTGCATTTCCACAAAAAAATGTTAGGTTTCAGGAAGCAGGAGCTTCTGTCCGTCTTTAATGCTACCCCCCAGTGGCTGGAACACAGAGGTACTCACTAAATGTTAGTTGAATGAATAACAGTTGTTTAAAATTTAGAATCGATTTCCCTATAGAGCAATGATTAGTTTTTCTAAAGTTGAAGCTCCAAGAAGCCAAATGAATATATCCTTCTTTAAACTTTAGGATTAATAATATTAGCCTGGTGCCTCGCTCCTAGAAACACTGGAATCATGCCACAAAAGACAAAAGTAAAAGTGAGATTCCTCCCCCTTTCTGAATGTACCTGGGTAAAATTTACAAATAGGAATTTTACCTACTTGGCATTTTACCTCTTTTTTGTGCCTAATCCCAGGACTCCTGTTACCATAAGCCTCCACTCACATCCCCCAAATTGCCTCCATCATTTCCAGCCCTTCTCCCTAATTCCCAGCAAATTTTCCCCTCTTCAACTGATTATCTCAATTAAGGTATTATGAAGAAATTTGAACTGTTATAATTTACAACAATGGGTGAACAAATCGTTCAACCTTCCCAGGCATCTGTACATATTTAAAATATAATTAAATTGAAAGATAATTTGTATGAATTAATTAATCTCTAATTGGTAGAATTTAGGGCATCAGTACAGTGATGTGGAAAAAATACAAAGTAGACAGAAGGTAGTTTTAGAGCTGGGGAAATAACCACCAAATGTTTTGCATGCTAGGCATTAATAGGTGTTCATTAAAGGAGTGATTAAGTAAAAGTAATCATGCCAAGGCAACCTCTGGGTCTTCCCCTGGGTCAGCTCTCCTGAATAGTTCTTTCTCCCCCATGACACAAAAGTTGTTTTTCACTATGGCTCACTCAATGACACCAGAGAGAAGTAGCACTAAAAAAGGTAGCACTTAAGGAGCTATGACAGTTGTCAAAATCAAAATAGAGTCACTTGTGTTAAAATCCTGACAAATGGAGTCAAGGAAGGTCAAGAAGAGAGGGTTCTCATGCACGAATGCCTGATAAGAAGAACTATCACACTCCAGCTGACAAGGGATTGATAACCGAAGTATATAAGGAGTCCAAAAAACTCAACAGGAAAAAAAATCCAATAATCAAATTAAAAATGGGCAAAAGATCGGAATAGACATTTCTCAAAAGAAAGACATATAAATGGCAAACCAGTATATGAAAACGTGCTCAACATCACTGATCATCAGAGAACTGCAAATCAAAACTACAATGAGATATCATCTCACTCCACTTAAAATGGCTTCTTCCAAAAGACAGGCAATAATGAATGCTGGTGAGGATAGAGAAAAGTTGGTTGAAATGTAAATTACTACAGCCACTATGGAGAATAGTATGGAGGTTCCTCAAAAACCTAAAAATAGAACTACTGGTTGGGCACAGTGGCTCACAGCTGTAATTCTAGCACTTTGGGAGGCTGAGGGAGGAGGATTGCTTGAGGCCAATAATTCAAGACCAACCTGGCCAACAGTGAGACCCTGTCTCTAAAAAAAAAATTAAAAATAAATAAATAAAAATAGCACAACCATATGATCCAGCAATCTCACTGTTAGGTATATACGCACCTAAAGGAAAGAAAATCAACATAGCAAAGACATATCTGCTCTCTCATGTTTATTGCAGCACTATTCACAATAGGCAAGATTTGAAAGCAACCTAAGTATCTACCAACAGATGAATGGATAGAGAAAATGTCCTACATGTACACAATGGAGTACTATTCAGCCATAAAAAGAATGAGAGCCTGTCATTTGCAACAACATGGATGGAACTGGAGGGCATTATGTTAAGTGAAATAGGCCAGGCACAGAAAGACAAAATCCCATGTTCTCACCTATTTGTGGGAATTAAAAATTAAAACAATTGATCTCGTGGAGGTAGGGTAGAATGATGGTTACCAGAAGCTAGAAAGGGTAGTAGTAGGGGTGGGAAGTGGGGATGGGTAATGGGTACAAAAATAGTTAGACAGAATGAATAAGATACAGTATTTGATGGCACAGTGGGTGATTACAGTCAATAATAATTTATTGTACATTTAAAAATAACTAAAAGAGTATAACTGGAATGTTTGTAACACAAAGAAATGATAAATGCTTGAGGTGATGGACACACCATTTACTCTGATGTGATTACTATGCATTGTATGCCTATATCAAAATATCTCATGTGCCCCATAAATACGTACAACTACTATGTACCCATTAAAATTTTTTAAAAAACAACAATCATAAGACTGCAAAAAACACAACCTTGCACAGAGGCCATTGCAACCTTCCACACACACAAGTACTTCTGTAAGGATGTCTGTCCAGCAACTGGCCATCCAACCTTGGACTGATGCCACCTTTGTGACTGATCCTTGTGGCCAAGGATAACTGATTCAAAATAATTTATGTAATCTTTTTCTTTCTGTCTTTAAAAACATCCTTTGCCCCAACCTCCTTGAGTAGGCACATAGTTTACTATATCACACATATTACCATTGCATTGCTACCCCAAAATAAATATTTTCTTTAGAGTCTCTTTCTGCTACTTAGATTGCCAGTGGAAAAGGCAGAAAAAGGAAATACCATATTTTTATAGGTTGTATTTAATTTTAAAACAAGTTTTGGGTGTTGTCTATTTATTAATTTATTTTTTAAAGAAAAAATTTGATTCGATACAATTTAAAATGGTAAAATAATAATGTATTTTGGGGAGGAATTATTTATTATTTAAAGCCTGTGGATTTAAAGTTCTCATTATATATTACAGCTGTCTATAATTATAATTCCAGGCTGCTAGCTGGGAAACAAACAAACAAAACGACAACTTCTAGGGTGGAATAAAAAGGAAGATGGAAGGCAGTTTAGGTCCTCAGCGCCTACTTCTTACCAGAAATCACCTGAAGCCCCCATTAAACCATACTCCTGAACCTACCATACAGATCTAATTAAGTCTAGAGTGGGACATAGCTTTAGTTTTAATAGGTGCTTCACGTGACTCCGATAGCAACTGGCCTGCAGGCAGTTCTAAGGTTGAGTGATGGAAGTAAAAAGACCTGAATTAAAACTTAACAGCAGACATAACGTGAGAGGGCAGATTCCAGCCATATCTGCAAGACAGAATGAACAGGGCTTAATGATTTACTGGATATGAAAGATGAGGAAGAATCTAAGGGCAAATAAGATAATATTTGTGCCATTAAAAATAGACTATTAAGAATTCAGAAATACCAGAGCTTTTGTTTTTTAAGACGGCGGTTGAGAGGTAAGTCCTGTTACAATGATTACTTCACTGATTAAAGTGAATTTGAGGGTGCTTACGTGACATTTGGAAGAACTGCCCAGAAGGCGTTCACAAATACAGCCTAGAGTTCAAACATGACGTCCAGGAAATGGAGACACGGGTTCGGGAATCCCTGGTATCTTAGTGGTTGGTAAATCCTAGAGAACAAATTCTTTGAAAAAGCCCAAACATTACTGGTTTGAATTTTGCAAACTACAGTTTCGCCGGGCTTCTTAGCGACAACTGCAGCTAAGTGTCGGGGACAGAAGAGAGACTCAAGTGGCCCCGCAAGCCCCCTTTATCTGGCAAAGCCCACTCCGAGACCATCCGGTGCCCGACCTACACCAGAACAAACGTCTAATGGTGAGAAGCCGATTCACCACCCCACAGATCCGCGGTGCAGAGATTTCCCTGCTAAGGCCCTAACTCCTGAATGGGTACGGCGAGTACATCCTAAGGACCGAAAGGTACCTATCCCCCACTCAGTTCAAGAGAAGGCAGCGAGGTGGGCCAAGATGCGTGGTAAAGCCCAGGGACTCTTTGTCAACGAAGTCCGCTGAACTTTCCGCCCTCCCGGGGGCCTCAGCGAGCCAATTCCACTCACTTCTCGGAGGGTCCGGCCCAGCATGGTCCTCGTGCCCAGCCTGCCACCATAGGAGCCAGGCAAGGAGGAAAAAGAGGTCACCGGTCGCTAGTGATGGTACATGGCCGCAGCCATCTTTAATTGTCACTGAGCCCTTCAACATCGAGTACTTGGATTGGTTTAATTGCAGCCCGAGGAAATGATCTTTGCAGGCGATTGGTTGGCGCCGTAAAGCCACCCCGGCGGCTGAGGAGAGCGGGCAGGCAAGGAGATTCCGGGCCAGGGTCGCGGCGGCAGTTGGCAAGGGTTAGATTCTCTGGCGTTGGACCGCGAGCGGTGTCTGCCTGTCCCGCCGAGGGTTCCCAGGACAGGGCAGGGATCTAGGGGGTTTGCGCACCTGCTTTTTTATCCCCCCCTTTTTTTTAGAAGGGGAGAGGGTGAAAGGGAGGGAGGAGAATAGACTGAATACTGACTGGAACGTTGATTGGAGCATTTCATATGCGAAGAGCAGAATAAAAGTTAGTTTCTCCATTAGATTAGCTTCATTTTCGAATGCTCCGTTTTGCATGCTTAATTTTGAAACTAGCCCGTGGTTTGGCAGAATTTGACCGAATTCAGGGGTGAGAGTTTGATCCAGTCCAAGTGTATTTGAATTTGAGCACGCAGTTCAACCAGTGTTTGCAATGGAATTTCTGAAGACTTACGTACTTAGAAGAAATGCATGCACTGCGGTTTGCTTCTGGAGAAGCAAAGTTGTCCAAAAGCCTTCAGTTAGAAGGATTAGTACTACCTCTCCAAGGAGCACTATCATGCCTGCTTGGGTGATAGATAAATACGGGAAGAATGAAGTACTTCGATTCACTCAGAACATGATGATACCTATCATACACTATCCAAATGAAGTCATTGTCAAAGTTCACGCTGCCAGTGTAAATCCTATAGACGTTAATATGAGAAGTAAGTTTTCAAAAGACATTACCTTTTTTAAAAAAGTCATTATTTAATAAGGTATGCGGTTTTAAAAAATTTGACTACGCTTCTTTGGTTAACTCAAATGAATCATTTAGGTTTTTAACAATACCTCTGCAAATATTATTTCCAAAATTTTTGAAATTGCAGTGGCCAGGGTATCTTTCTGGCCATTTGTCTTGGTAAAATATAAGCTTGATTGTTTTCATGCGTCCTTAAATGTGTAAGTTCAGACTTGAGAACTGTGTCTGTAGCTTTTTTTTTTTTTTTTTTTTTTTTTGAGACTGAGTCTCTGTCACCCAGGCTGGAGTGCAGTGGCCTGCTCACTGCAACCTCCGCCTCCTGGGTTCAAGCAAAATTTCTCCTGCCTCAGCCTCCGGAGTAGCTAGGATTACAGGCGCGTGCCACCACACCAGGCAAATTTTTTTGTATTTTTAGTAGAGATGGAGTTTCACCATGTTGGTCAGGCTGGTCTCCAACTCCTGACCTCAGGTGATCCGCCTGCCTCGGCCTCCCAAAGTGCTGGGATTACAGACTAGTCACTGCACCCGGTTTATCTCTGTAGCTAAATTTCTGTCCGGGGAACTTTGTGGTATTCTGAGATCCGTCACAGGCTTCGGAAGTATAGTTATGTTTCCTCGTCAGTTCAGAATTTGTGGGGTTTTTTGTTTGTTTTTGAGACAGAATCTCGCTCTATTGCCAGGCTGGAGTGCAATGGCGCGTTCTTGGCTCACTGCAGCCTCCGCCTTCCGGGTTCAAACGATTCTCCTGCCTCAGCCTCCCAAGTAGCTGGGACTACAGACATGCGCCGCCACACCCAGCTAAGTTTTGTATTTTTAGTAGAGACGGGGGGTGGGGGTGGGGGTGGGGGTGGGGGTGGCGGGGGGGATTCACTGCGTTGGTGGGAGACTGAGGCAGGAGAATCGCTTGAACCTGGAAGGCGGAGGTTGTAGTGAGCCAAGAACACGCCATTGCACTCTAGCCTGGCGATAGAGTGAGACTCCGTCTCAAAAGAAAAAATAAATAAAAATAATGAATTGAATCGACTTTACTGTGATTGTCTCATGAAATCTACATCTGTATTCTTTGTTTTGAAGTAATAATTGCTACTACCAGTTGAGCATGCCGTTTTCCTTTATTCTTTTTACATTAGGCTTGAAGAGAGTTCAGTTTTTTATAAGATATGTCTTTTAGTGGTAAGTTTTACTCAATGGTCAGCATGTTTTTTCATCTCCTTTGATTGTAAGTTCTTTCAAGATAGATCCCATGCTTTGTCAACCTGTTTCAGTGCTTCACATATGCAGTTGTCATTCAGCCAGTATTTCTATGCCTTTTTATCTTTTTGTTCTGTCTTAAGATAACAAACTTAAATTAGCAGTATTTTATCCGTGAGTAATTTTTACATTTTGTCTTCCTTTAGATCTGTTAGCTTTTTATTTCTTTAAATGCACATGCGTAATTCATGCCATGTACATTTTCATTTAAACAGAATGGCTGTATCTAGACTTTCCTTGGCTGCTGTTTAATAATCTAAAACTGTAAAACATTTTACTTTTATATAGTATTCTTGAAATATCTTAGTTTTCTATGATTTGATTGAGTAATATTATTTGCAAGTTACCATCTTTTTTTTTTTTCCCCTTCCATTTGAGGATATGTTATTGTCGTTGAAGAAAATATCTGAAACAGTAGCTTGGGGAAATAAAATAATGAGTAGAAGATTGTAAACTGTAGGAAGCAGTTATTTCCCTTGACAAGAAAGCAAGAGACATGTCTATTTTATTTGAGAGATGAAGACTGGCTGTTTTTCTGGAGATGGCCACTACTGTTGGACATAAAATAATAAATCATAGAAATGGCTAAAGAAATGAAGAATTTTTACGTGGGGAAAAAATGCAGCCAACAGCATCATACCAACGAAGTTTGGTGGCTTTAGATGGGATTAACGTCTTTAAACTGATGACAGATTTAGGATTTTTCACATTGGCCCAACTCTCTGAACAAGTCAAGGTGGCAACCCCTGTCAATGGGATGGAACACTTAAGGGCCCCATTCAGTTATCCGTGTCACCAAACAGATTCTCAATTACTAACTGCCAGCTGACTACATTCTGGGTTCAGGGTCTTGTTAGATAGTACCAGTGAGCCAAGGCTACTCAGTTGATGCATTAGCATATCAGGGGACCAAGAAAACTAGAAACAACCTTGAGCTGCAGTCTCTGTACCTCAAAGAGGACTGAAACCTTTCTGCAGCTTTTAAACAGCAGCTAAAGTTTGACATGGCTAAATGTCCACTTCTGTTGTTCAAACCACATAGAGGTTTCAGTGAATAATTGTTTAATTATCTTTAGCAGTGGAAAAGGATTGTAAGACAGGAAAAGTGAAGCACGTGACTTTTGTGAATATTACAGGTGAAGTTTTTTGTTTTTTGTTTTTTTCTCCCCCTGACAGAGTATAATCCTAACTAGCCAGATGGCAAATGTGTAATGTTGGTATAATGGCCATCAGCTTAGATTTTCTGGGACTTTCCTACCTTTCAAACACTTGAACCCATGTGTCTTCATTTTTTATTACAAACACAACTCATGCAAGCTACCCGCCTGTCAGCGTCTCTCTCTGTATCTTCTACCTTCCCTCCTGCTATATGGATCAGCTGTCACTGCTTTCACAGAAGGCCAGCCCTTAGCTTGTGTTTCTAATCCCATCCCCTCTCACCTACTCTGGGATATCATTCCAGCAGTTATCTCCTGCATCATCAATCTTTTCTCTTCTACTGGATCATCCCCATTAGCATACAGACTTGCTATTATTTCTCCTTTCTTAAGAAGAAGGAAAAAAAGCCACTCAAAAGTCCTCTGTCCATCCTAGTTGCCACTTCGAGCTACTGTTTCATTTCTCTGCTCCCCTTACAACAAAACTATTTTAAAGAGGGTTCAGTCTTCTCATGGTCTCCAGTCCCTTATTTCCCATTCTCTCAAAAGCACACGACACAGCAGCTGCTCCTGGCAGGGTTACCAAAGGTCTGCATGTTGTTAGATCCAGGCTTGTTTGTTTGTTTGTTTTAAAGCCTCTTAGCAGCTTTGTACCTTATTTGAAAACCTGTCTCTCCTGTCAGCAGCATTGAATGTCTTTAAACTGCCTCCTTAGGCTCCTTTGCTGCTTTCTCCTCATACCTAAGATCTAATGGATTGCCCATAGGAGTGGGTGCAGGGCAAGGGGAGACGTACAGAACGGGTTAGTGACTGGAGCATGCGTTGTGAGGCAGGGAGTGAGTGGTACATGACCCTGGAGAGGTAGGCAGGGTGCCTATCATGGAGAGCCTCACATGGCAGACATGTTCTCAGAAAAATGTCAAGCAGAAGAGAGAATAGCAGGTACTTTTGGGTCTGAGAAAAGTCACGTTATATGTGGAAGCCATGTAATAAATTACTCTGGATTATTATACAGTAGCAAATTTACTTGAACAAAAAAAATTGTAATTAAAAGAATGTTTTCAGTTTTATTTAGCTGATATTTATGTAAATATTCTTCTTCTTCTTCTTTTTTTTTTTTTTTTTTTTTTGAGACAGAGCCTTGCTTTGTCACCCAGGCTGGAGTGCAGTGGTGTGACCATGGCTCACTGCAGTCTCAAACTCCTTGGGTCAAGCAATCCTTCTGCCTCAGCCTCCTGAGTAGCTGGGACTACAGGCATATACCACTATGTCTGGCTAATTTTTCAAAGTTTTAGTAGAGACAAGGCCTTGCTATGTTGCCCAGGCTGGTTTTGAACTCCTGAACTCAAGCAGTCCTCCCACCTTGGTCTCCCAAAGTCCTGGGATTACAGGTGTGAGCCACGGCACCTGGCCTATAAATATTCTTAAAAATAAAAAGATATGGGCCAGGTGCGGTGGCTTATGCCTGTAATCCCAACACTCTGGGAGGCCAAGGTGGATGGATCGCTTGAGCCCAGGAGTTTGAGACCAGCCTGGCCAACATGACGAATCCCTGTTTCTACAACAATTAGCCAGACGTTGTGGCACACACCTGTAATCCCAGCTACTCCAGAGGCTGAGGCATGAGAATGGCTTGAACCCAGGAAGTGGAGGTTGCAGTGAGCCAAGATCACATCACTGCACTTGGGCAACAGAGTGAGGCTTCGTCTCTTAAAAAAATAAATAAAATAGGCCAGGCGTGGTGGCTCCCTATACTCCCAGCACCCTGGGAGGCCGAGGTGGGTGGATCATGAGGTCAGGAGATTGAGACTATCCTGGCCAAAACGGTGAAATGCCATCTCTACTAAAAATACAAAAATTAGCTGGCTGTGGTGTGTGCCTGTAATCCCAGCTGCTTGGGAGGCTGAGGCAGGAGAATCACTTGAACCCGGGAGGCAGAGGTTGCAATGAGCCGAGATTGCGCAACCACACTCCAGCCTGACAATAGAGCAAGACACTGTCTCAAAAAAATTAAATAAATAAATAAAAAGATGTATAATAAAACAACTTGATTTTACACGTCAGAACAGATGCAGCCAAGTGGCTTTTCTTCACTCAGGAATTTATTCCAATTTATTTCAAAGATGTTGTTCTGGAAATATTTTTAAGGATGTGGGGATCATTACTCATAAACTATTGTCAGCATCAAATACTTTATATTCTTGCCTTATTTATTTATTAACGTCAAACAGCTTAAACGTTTATCTTCACCAGATATGGCACCAAATATTTTGTTGTTTAAAAAGTTCATAGGCCGAGCGCTGTGGCTCACGCCTGTAATCCCAGCACTTTGGGAGGCTGAGGCAGGCGGATCACAAGGTCAGGAGATTGAGATTATACTGGCTAACACGATGAAACCCCGTCGCTACTAAAAATACAAAAATTAACTGGGCGTGGTGACGGGCGCATGTAGTCCCAGCTACTCAGGAAACTGAGGCAGGAGAATGGCGTGAACCCGGGAGATGGAGCTTGCAGTGAGCCGAGATCACCCCACTGCACTCCAGCCTGGGTGACAGAGCTAGACTCCATCTCTTAAAAAAAAGAAAAAAAAAGGAAAAAAAAGTTCCTGAATGAATACGTTAATAAAGGCATACTCTTCGAAGAACAAAGCAAAACTGTATAAAAAATAATACTAAAAGTTCTGAAGACAATTTCAAAATTTGAATTTCAAAAATATTTTGAACAATGGTGGCTTTAGTTTAATAAGTGATTATCATTTTCCAAGTAAATTTTTTTTTAAAGAAAATAAATCCATCTTTTTATGCTTTCCCATGTATTGGCAAAAAATTATAAGGTTGATTACTTTTTAAAAAAGCTTTTAAGTTCGGAGTACAAGTGCAGGTTTATTACATAGGTAAGCTTGTGTCATGGGGGTTTGTTGTACAGATTATTTCATCTCTCAAGTATTAAGCCTCATACCCACTAGTTATTTTTGTTAATCCTCTTCCTCTTCCCACCCTCCACCCTCTGAAAAACCCCAGTGTGTGTTGTTCCCCTGTACGTGTCCATGTGTTCTCATCATTTAGCTCCCACTTGTAAGTGAAAACGTGGTATTTGGTTTTCTGTTCCTGTGTTAGTTTGCTAAGGATAATGGCCTCCAGTTCCATCCATGTCCCTGGAAAGAACATGATCTTGTTCCTTTTTGTGACTGCATAGTATTCCGTGGTGTGTATGTACCACAGTTTTTAAATCCAGTCTATCATTGTTGGGCAGTTAGGTTGATTCCACGTCTTTGCTTTTGTGTATACTATTGCAGTGAACATATACTTGCATGTGTCTTTGTAATAGAATGATTTATAATCTACATCTTAAAGACCTAAAATTGTACTGGACTATAACCCTGTAGTAGTTTTAAAAGTATTTCATACTTACATTTGGAGGAAACAGATAAATTGTGTTTTTATTTTACAGGTGGTTATGGAGCTACAGCTTTAAATATGAAGCGTGATCCTTTGCACATGAAAATCAAAGGAGAAGAATTTCCTCTGACTCTGGGTCGGGATGTCTCTGGCGTGGTGATGGAATGTGGGCTTGATGTGAAATACTTCAAGCCTGGAGATGAGGTGAGTTCGGGAATGCCACTATTCCTGCGGGGGTCCAACCCATAGACCCTGATCCAGCGATGGATGAGAGATGTACACTGACACAGATATTTTGCCTGTCAGTGCAGCTAAGAGGTCTCTGCTCCCTGAATCTGCAGCATCCACCCCATAAACTGAGGAAGTTCACATTTATTTAGTGCGGATTAAACGATGAAGGTCTCGAGTAAACACCACTATAGGGTAATTAACATTGCCCACTGTCCAGTAGAGAGCAATCATGCACCCATGAAAGAACAAAGGTTGGTCTTAGGAACATGTGAGTAAGCAAACTATTTAGATAAACTGCCCCACATTCCGTAGTTATTTGCTCTATTGCTATCAACTCAAGGTAAAGAGGATTAGGCTGCTTTCAGCCAAATCTTTTACTGAAGCTATGCAACACCCCCGGCCTTCCAAGTAGGTTTGTGTCTACTTCCTGTAACTTTACAATTTTTCGTCTTAACAATTTTTCCCACCACCCTGACTGAACTCCCACATATTCCTTTACTAAATATGCAAATTTCATTCTGTTTCAGAAGTATATTCTATGCTGTTGACCTGTTTTCTTGTTTTCAACAAAAGTACTGAGCTTTGACTAGAACTGTCACTTTTTTGGTTCTGTTGTTACATTTTTTCACAAACAGTTCTGAAATATGTTGACTCTACTTGAGTTTGTGTTTTCTAAATTTAGTACTTAAGAAATGCAAGACTTTAAAATATGTAGGATTAGGGTATTTTTTTCCTTGAAAGGGCCTTTAAATGACAATTTTTACCTTATGGATTAGATGGCTTTAAAATAGTTTAAGTTTGGTATAATCACCTATCACTTGTCACTTTGAACTTTTGTACCAGGAAATGATAGTTCATAATCATAGCTAACACTGTTCTGGTTGCTTTTTCTAAAATATGTCATTTAGTCCCTCTGAGGTAGATAAAGTTAGGCCCAGTTTACAGATGAGGAAGCCAAGCTCTAAAGAGGTCTCCTAACTAATAAGTGGTGGAGCCAGGACTCAAACCCCAGAGACTGTGGTCTTATTGGTACTCAAAGTAGTCAGTAAATGCAGCAGGATATGCTGTCTGCTTCCAGTGTGGTTTGACTTGATAAATGCAGAATCATACTAAGTAATACATTTATATCATGAAAATAACACTCCTGCTTGGTGTAGTGCTGACTTCCATGTTTTTCACAGCACAGGGTATATATTAGGGAACACCTTCATGCTTAGCTTTGGTCAGAGAATACCTGTGTTTCTAATGAAGCTGTCTGTGTGTGTGTGTTTCAGGTCTGGGCTGCAGTTCCTCCTTGGAAACAAGGCACTCTTTCAGAGTTTGTTGTAGTCAGTGGGAATGAGGTAACTTACCAACTCTGCTGAAATGCATTAGAAAGTTTAAACAAAGACTGGCAAATATCTCGGAAATAATTGGTGTTTTTCAGATCTAGTTTCTGTTTCATGGGGCAGTTTATAAAGAGATAATATAGAATATAGGAATTTTTGAGAGATTAAAAAAGTATTTGATGCCATTCAGTAACACTGCCTGCTAACATAGCTGTTTTTCTCTCATTGAGCAGGGATTTGGAATGAGACCTAGAACCCTGCTGTGTTGCTTGGTTTTACCCTAGATAAATAGCTGAAAGCAGATATAGGCAGTAGAGGGGGTGGATTAGTCATCAGTGGAGACATGGAAATGTCCAGCGGTTTTGAATAACTTTGAAAACAGGAGTCTAATCAAATGCAGTCAGGAGACCGACAAATTGAATAGAGAGAAAGGGGTTAACATTGAGGAAATTGGCTACAGAAGGGAGGGCAGGAAGGGGAAAAAGGTTGTTACTGAGATTAGAGAAAATCTAGAAAGATTTCCTTTCCAGAAAATGAGAGTAAAGGAAACAGCTGATCTCAAAAACTAATTAGGATGTGTTTTTGAGAGTTCAAGGTTTATTTGGATTTACTTCAAGACAAATGGGAATATTGATGTGGTCTTTTTATAAACAATGAAGTTATAAACAACAAAGTAGTTTTTATAAACAATGAAGTAGTTATATCTGATAATGTAGCCTACATTATTGAACATCTGTGAGGCAGGTAGAGCTATTCTATACAATATTTATTAGGATAATCTTGGTGTAGGGTATGCATATGCATACCCTACTCCAAGGTATGCAACAGAGCTATACAATATTTATTAAGGATAATCTTGGAGTAAGGTATGCAATAAACACTGAACTGGAATAATTTTGTAGATTTATCTATGAAAATACAGTTGACACCTGAACAATGCAGGAGTTGGTGCACCTACCCCTTTTAAAATGCACCTACATCTTTTGACTCCCCTAAAACTTAACTGCTAATAGCCTACTGTTACCCAGAAGCGTTACTGATAACATAAAAAGCCAACTAAGGCGGGGTGCAGTGGCTCACGCCTGTAATCCCAGCACTTTGGGAGGCCAAGGTGGGTGGATCACAAGGTCAGGAGTTCAAGACCAGCCTGGCCAATATGGTGAAACCCTGTCTCTACTAAAAATACAAAAATTAGCCAGGCGTGGTGGGAGCTGCCTGTAGTCCCAGCTGCTTGGAAGACTGAGGCAGGAGAATCGCTTAAACCTGGGAGGCGGAGGTTGCAGTGAGCCGAGATTGCACCACTGCACTCCAGCCTGGGCGACAGAGCAAGACTCTGTCTCAAAAAAGTCACCTAACACATATTTTATATGTTATGTATATTATATACTGTATTCTTATAATAAATGAAGCTAGAATATGTTATGTATATTATATACTGTATTCTTACAATAAAGGAAGCTAGAATGTGTTATGTATATTATATACTGTATTCTTACAGTAAAGGAAGCTAGGAAAAATGTTATTAAGAAAATCATAAAGAAAGGTATACTTACTGTTCATTAAGTGGATCATCATAAAGATTTTCGTCCTTGTTGTCTTCATGTTACTAGAAAGAGGAAGAGTAGGAAGAAGAGGGGTTGGACTTGCACAATTCAAACCCCTGTTGTTCAAGGGTCAGCTGGATTCCTGTGAAGGTAAATGTGCTTAATTGTGTGCAGAGGTTTGCAAGTCATTGCTTATTTTTGACTGTTGTCTTCAAATGTAGGTCTCTCACAAGCCCAAATCACTCACTCATACTCAAGCTGCCTCTTTGCCATATGTGGCTCTCACAGCCTGGTCTGCCATAAACAAAGTTGGTGGCCTGAATGACAAGAATTGCGCAGGAAAACGGTAAGTGTATCAGTCAGTGGCAGCATCTAAACTTCTTTTCTTTCCTTCTGTGAGTTCCTTGCAGTAGATTTCTTAGAGCTTTGAAATTTAGTAGCATTTACATGAACAGAGCTGTACTAACATTTGAAAACAATTTCCAAAGCACTCTATTTGTGTCAGTTTGCATTTTCTTAGCTTCCTTCTGTAGATTTTCAGCCCAATCAGTTGGAAATTTTTTAACTGAGATGTGTGGATGAAATGGACTTTAGGAGTCTGAACCTTCTAAAATAATGCAAAATTTTACATGTGATTCTTTAGGAAGAAGATCCATATCTTTTTTTTTTTTTTTTTTTTATCAAATTCCTAAAAAGGTTAAGAATCATCCCATACAGTTTCTAAAGAATGATGTCAAAGTGAAAATGTTTTTCCCTACCTCTCCCAGGAGTTATTCTCACACTTGCATATTTCTATAAAGAGACTGCAAAACTATTGAATATTCTTAAGTTCTCTCAGTCTCAATGCCTAATATCCATTAGGTGAATTCTGATTTCCCAGTGGCTTGAGCGTGTGCTCATTTGGGTTAGCAGCAACACGGTGACCAGAAATGTCTCAGATGTACTTGAGTTTGTATCTGGATTCTGTTGCTTTCCAGCTGGGTGACCCACTCATTCACTTTTTAATGAGTTTTGTTTTGAAGGTTAAATGAGGTAATGCACATTAAAGTGGTGACACAGTTTATGGCACATAGGAGGCACTCAGTAAATGGTGGCTACTATTGTTAGCAAGGAGATTATGGTGTTCTTTGTATTTTAGAAAGTTACCATCATAGAGAAAAATGATGATTTTGTTTTTTGTTGAGAAAACTACCCACTAAGAACCATTTAACAATTGAAGGAAAGAGCTGTAGGTCAAACTATAATAAATAACCTAGTTTTTTTTATTACTAAGGATTGTGCTGGTAACATAACTAATGTCTGTGTGATTCTGTTCTATCGTTACGAAACATTGTACTTTACATTTAATGTGTTGGGTGATAGAGCATTAAATTTAATGAAAGTTTAATAGCTGTGTTTTTGAAAGCTTATGAAAGCTATTCATCTAATGAGGTGCTGCCCTTTATCTTAGAATTCAAGGTAAATATTTATTCTAAAGGTCAATGCTGTTTACTTTTTAAGCTATTGTGGCTTATCTTTCTTGAAGTTGCCATTTTGATCAACACTTTGTTTAAATTAAATTAGTTTTGACCACATAGATTTTTCTAATGGTTTCTCTTAGCTAATAACCTTGCGAAAACCTTATTGAAGATTTTTAGACCTGTATTGTAATTGTAGACTCTCCAACAGCATTGTTTTATTGTTTTGTTTTTTCCCTTAAAAACATTAAGTTTTCTATGCCTGCGTGACTGTATGTGCGCTATTGTTAGAGACCTCTCACTTCTTTTACTGGTTCAGGGCTCTCTGGATCTACTTTTAATACACTGTAAAAAACAATTTAGAAGATAAGAAAAAATTAAAAAATTTAGAGGCAAAGATCTGTCTCTTTTCAGAGACATTGGTGTGAGTCCTCAGTTTATTGTTGGCTTTGTGGGTAATTCTTTGGTACTCTGTTATCTTCTGTTTAAGCAACAATGGCCTGGAACTGGGAAGTTGGAGCCCTGGGTCCTATTCTGCCATTAACTAACCAGGTGACCACATGCTATTTATTTATGGCCTCTTTGTGGTTTCCTCTGAGTTTATGAGTATAGGACAGTGTAGGTTTTGAGGAGAGCTTTGAGAAATGGAAAATTTTAGACCTTATTAGGTGATGATATGTTATATTGAGTTGGGTCTGTTCCTTGATTGAGCCCCATGTTAACCAATCTAGAATGAAACCCACTGTAAAGAGTCTCAGTAATTCACATCATGAACTTCTGCTGCATTCACATGTTGTGACCTGTAGGACGCATTTGTCCTGAGTGACTCAGTGAGCACAGTGAGACCTCACTGTCTTAGTCCGTTCAGGCTATTATGACAAAATACCATAGACTGGTGGTTTAGAAACAAGAGAAATTTATTTCTTACAGTTGTGGAGGCTGGGAAGCCTGAGCTCAAGGTGACATCAGATTTTGTGTCTGGTGAGGACCAACTTTCTGTTCTTTAACAGTGCTTTCTCGCTTGTCATATTCTGGAAGGGGTGAGGATATCCCTGGGGTCTCTCTTTCTTATAAGAGCATGAATCCCATTCATGAGGGTTCTGCTTGCATGACCTAATCACCCCACCATCATACCATCACTCTGGGAGTTAGGATTTCAACATATGAATTTTAGTGGGACACAAACATTACAAACATTCAGACCATAGCACTTGGTACTTGCTGCTCTCAGAAATTTCGGTTTACTGAAATTACTACACATGGGTTATAATAATGGCCTACCTCTTTTAACTGTTTATTTGTGAGAATCACATGAGAGATGTGAGCACCTTAAAATACTGTAAAAATACTTTTAATGAAGAAATTCTGTAATGAGATTTTATTGTACCTAAAGTCAGAAGTTCCAGTGTCCAAAGTGGATTTTCCATTTGACTATTCATTGTGATCGATGGAGCATATTTTGGCTTCAATATGCTAAGCAATAACTGTTCCTTTTCTGTTAGCTATTGGCATTAAGGCATGCCTTAGTCTGCACAAAGCAGGTCAGTGTTTGTTATCAAAGATGAATAGTCTTTTTTTTCTAATCAGTTAATTAAAGAAAAGCCAAAATTAACAATGACAAAAACACCTATCAGCACCTTGGAAGATTTTATAGGATTTCTTTATAGCAAACAGCTTATTTGAAATTAGGAAAAATCTTTCTAAGGGTTCGATGATGTTTGCCTTTTTTCCCCTATGTTCTGTAGTTACTTTTCTGCAGCAGCTGAGTATCAGTGAACCAAGGAGATAGTTTATTCTTGATGTCGTGTAATACTGTCATTTTGTCCACACACCAATATCATTAGAAAATACCAAGTGAGACCAGGCGCAGTGGCTCACGCCTGTAATCGCAGCACTTTGGGAGGCCGAGGTGGGTGGATCACGAGGTCAGGAGATCGAGCCCATCCTGGCCAACATGGTGAAACCCCGTCTCTACTAAAAATACAAAAATTAGCTAGATGTGGTGGCGCACACCTGTAGTTCAAACTACTCGGGAGGCTGAGGCAGAATCGTTTGAACCACAGAGTTGGAGGTTGTAGTGAGCTGAGATTGTGCCACTACGGTACTCCAGCCTGTTGACAGAGCAAGACTCCATCTCAAAACAAAAAAAAAAAAGAGAAAAAGAAAATGTCAAGTCAAAATTATTTCCTTTTTATCAGTCCATCTGTAGTTTCTTCATGATTTGTTCAGTAGGAACACATAGATAACTTAGGGCTCTCAAATAAGTAGAAATTTTTTTTAAAAGTTGTTACAACCAGATTTTTTTGAATATGGTAAGATTTGATGGTTTTATTTATTGGTAGTGTCATGGGTACACTTGAATATTTCATGCTCTGCCTGAAATTCACGTCTTGCTGGGAAAGCTGTACTTCACTCTGTTTGACAGAAGTATTAAAAGGTGTTAGGTGTGGTGTTGCACGCCTGTAGTCCCAGCTACTCAGGAGGCTGAAGTAGGAGGATCGCTTGAATCTGGGAGGCGGAGGTTACAGTGAGCCGAGATCGTGCCACTGCACTCCAGCCTGGGCAACAGAGTTAGGAATTGAACTATTCCTTCTCCACAAAATAAATTTCACTTTTAAATTGTGTATACTTGCAACTCAATGAAGTTAATTTAGGAATACTTTTTTCTTTTTTTGGTATTAGGCTTTATGGCAGTAAAATTTTGTCATGTAAGTGTAAATCAGGCATCTGATTGATTCTGTTATAGAATTATAGAATTAGGCCCAAACTTGAAAGCATTGGGTTTACTCCCTACCAACATGCTTATATTAAAAGGACAGCCTTCTTCTTTCAAATGCATTCTAAGGCCTTTTCTTCACCCCACCACCACCTGTTTCTTCCCACTCCCCAAGCCCATTACCCTTTTGGACTTTGAGTTTTCATTTGCACCTGACTGGGTTGTATTGTTAGTGGGGTAAGGGGAAGTAGAAAGAAACCCCTGCTGTTTTCTTGCATAAACAAAGTATGGGGTTGAGGAGGCAAGGAGAGTGAGAGTGGTGGCTCTGGCTTGGTCAGTGTGATGGAAATGAATCTTCCTTTGCTTCAGGGTCTATTTTCCAGGGAGTCCTGAGTGGTGGGGGGGCACTTAAAAGAATAGCAGAAACCTCACTCCTGGAAATTTGTGTTTTACACAATAGGTTTCTAAGTGACTGGGTTAACTGTCTTGTGAGGTTTAGAAGTCATTTACTCTTCAGTGGACTGTAATCTAGCTTCTAGCCTTGCGTTTCAATTGCACCTGCCCTCACTGGGGTCATAGCTAACTTAAGTGACTTAAGTTACCAAGCCCAAAGACATTTTTCAGTTTTCATTTTAATTTCATCTCTCTGAAGTATCTGGCATTGTTGATCACTTCCTAAATACTTACTTTTTGTATGGTTTCAGGGACATTAAGACTTTTAAGTTTTCTTTTTTTGTTGTTGACCATTTCTTGTCATTTTTAGAAGCCCCCACTTCTTCCTCCAGCCCTTTAAATGTGCTGTTTTCCCAGTGTTCCACTGTATTCTTCCTTTTTGTTTCCCAAGGTAATCTCATCTACTCCCAGCTTCTTCTTATAGTTTGGTAACTTGCAGATCTGTATTTCTAACTCTGTCCTCTTACTGAATTCCAGTTAGATGTTCTCTTTATATCTCAAACTCAACTTGAGCAAAACAAGACTTACCAACTACCACCCTAACTCTTCCTCTGTAATCCTAATGTCAGTTAATTGTGGTTTACCCTAAGCCAAAACCTGACATGGTTCATAAACCCTGCTCTCTCACCTTCCACAGCACTACTCATTATTGTTCGTGTCAAGTAAAATGTAAGATTGTTGTCAAATTTGGAACAGTAACTTCCAAGTTCCTTTTATATA